GAGGGTGTCGTGGACCTTGCAGGATGTAAGGGGGATGGGCGGGGTAGGTTTGTCCCGCATTCCCTCTTCAGTGGGCTAACAATGCAGCTCCCCGGATGCCCTTGGCTTCGCACATTCTGTCCCCACGTAGGACCATTATTAGTTCAATGCCAGCGTGACCCTGGCGACGACACTGGATTTGGCTAGCTGGGAGAATAAGCTTGGCGTATTGTGTGCACGTGGTTTCAGGGGAACTGAAGGAAAACAGTTATTTTGTTTGGCAGGCGAGGTACGTCTGACGAATAACTCAAGGCCTACCTGTAATGATTCGCCCTGTGTCAAGCATTAAATCGGATCACGATACTTTTCCAAGTACCAAAAAGGCTCTTCTAGGTGTAGAAGAGGGTACTGTAATACTTATGTTGTCTTAATGTGCCTTTCAGGGAGGAGGCAACCAGGAAATACGAATCTCGTGACCGGATCGTCCCCTCACTTACCTAGTGACTGCGGCTCCCCCCTTCTTGAATATCGTATTTTCCCTATCCATCTTATCACCTTTAACAAAGATGTCCAAAGCGAATCAACCGGGCTTGTCTAGAAACGCTAGGAATCGGGAAGCGGAGACCGAGGAGTCTCGCTCCACAGTACACCCACCACTCTCCAAGAGGGTGGAGAAAGATGGATTTTTTTACTAAAGACAGGTATTGGGGATATTTGTAACATCCTGTTCAAACTTGGCCGCTCGGTGTCTAGATGATACTGTCACACTAACATCCATTGCAGCCATGGCTTGAAACAGATTCTAGTCTTGATTCATCATTTGCAAAGCACTTTGTAGTTAAGCCGGCACATTCCTTCAGCAAGGTGGATGGTGTACTCAAGTGACAAAATTCAGTTTTCAACAGTGCTGGGTGAGTTTTGTCATATGTGCAATTTGAATAAATAATTTTCATCATTATAGAGTAAAAGTATGTGGCATGACTTATGCTTTACACTCGTGACTTTTTCATTTGTAACTTTTAAAAATACATAACCGCGAATGAAGGACTCGAATGACATCAAAAACATTTTTTTTCTAATTTGTAGTAATTCAGTGATGTGACCTTCGCATCCACTAGCGGACATTTTGTTGTTTCTAATTGGTGGTTTTTGGCGTTAACATAACTCTTTGGCTTTGGGCAGCTGATTAACGAAGGTGAAATGGCTACATCTTCTGAAGTACGTGTATTTCGCGAAGTCATATCTTTTTTGCAGTCATCTGTTCACTTCATCACATTCATATATCACCTTAATATGCACAAACTTCACATTCATAAATAATACTGTGTCTGTCACTACTTCTTATTGTATGGGTAATTTTAATTTCAGCAGTTGAGAACATTGGGTACATTTGTGATTCAGAACAAGTCACAGTCTGATATTATGAAGCAGTAACGAATACTGGTGTACTTTTATATCTTATCATCTGTAATTTATTACCACCCGATGAAGCAATTCCCCCATCAACCTTTCTCCTTAGTTATGCAGCAAAGTGACACGATCGACATCCTATTATCCTACTTTACTTGTGGTCACGGTCATGCTTTAGAGGCCCAAGTAAACAGCTATGTGCTTATGACGTTTATTCTTCTAAATTCGCACTGACTGTACCAATCAAATCTAAAGACATAGTAACAATTGAAATGGTTAACTCAAAGTAATGTTTATGATAACCTAGTATTTTGATGTTCTTACTTGATCCACTAGTATATTCAGTACGAATAGATTGTGATTTTATTGCGTCCAAACTTAATAGTGGGAGGTTTGTTATTAGCGTGCTGGAGGACCGGCACTCTCTGGGCTTGGATGGGTGTTCATGCCACCAATACGGTAGTAGAACTCCCCTATTTAGTTCATCCAAACAAGTGTGGTTTCATCACAACTTCTTCTCGAAAAGCAACTTACTTTTATGGTTATTGTAACTAATATCAAGATGCAAATTCTTTAATTATTGCTTAGGCCTGCCTTGCCGATGCGGCTTTGGAGAGTAAGCAGGCGAAAAGTGACAAAGCTGCTTCGGACCTAATGTGCAATATCGCCATCGCCGACATTACCAAAGTCAGCGTTGATGATTTTGTGGTGTGGCTTTTTTACCTTTCTATAGTTCTTTCTATGCTAGAAACAAATCACCCTTATTGATATGTCCTATTTCGCTGCAATTAAACGGTCTGAGTTCCTCAGTCTCAAATGGAACGGCAGGGACAAGAAAATTTACGCACCGAACATCGTCGAGTCTACAAAGTGGTTCAATCAACTCAATTTTTGGGTTCAGAAGGAAATTCTAAAATATCCTGCTGTAAACAAACGTACTGAAATGCTTTCTTATTTCATAAAGTTAGCCAAGGTGAGTCGGACGTACCTGGCGTAGCTTCATTCGTAACTGGCCCCATAATTCTGGTAGGTTACACATTCAGCACTATTTAGGATATGTGGAGATGGTTTTAAAATACTTTCCTATACATTGTAGCCATCTGTAAAGTCATCAGCTGTCGATGGGAACTGATATCGTCTCTATGTCATTGTGGTTTAACTCCACTACATGAGCGCCGGTGTATGCTTGAAAATGTTCGATACACGATTAATGCTACCATAGCTCACACATTCTCAGAGTTTATCCGTCTAAAAGTGTCAATGCCCTTTCCACATAGTGTGAATGTTAACTCCAACCCACCCGTGATTTCGAATGCCGTTTCCCTCTATTTAGCACTTGGTGGAGGTAAACAATCTCTACTCAGCCATGTCAATAGTTTCGGCACTGCAAGTGGAGTGTGTCTACCGCCTGCGTCTCACTTGGTCTGGACTCGGCCATCGCGAGAGGGCGGCCTACCGACGGCTGGAGGAGCTCTTCGGCCAACAGGACAACTGCCGTCTCCTCCGCGAGCATACCGCCGCCATGCGTCTCCCTGGTATTCCCTACCTCGGTGAGTTCCCTCCGCCATCTCCTTCCTCTTCGTTCAAGTTATTCTCTGTGCTATATACATAGGTTTCGTAGGCATATGGCATGCAACACCTAGAGGTACGTTACGTGTTTTCCCCTTCTCTAAGAAATATGCTCAATAGTGATGTAGCCTTATCGTCCGTTTTAGTCCGATCGGTTGTTGATGAGAAAGTAGAGTGCGTACAAATTTGAGATCTCAGTTTGTTTTGGTAAATGTCGTTTGCGTTGTCCGTCTGGTACATGTCTGGTGTGCTCCAGACATTTTGATGTTTGCAACTGTTTTACTTGTTTATTCTACATTAATGTAAAAAAGGCACACGTTGGGTCTTATTGGGGAGTTTGTATCAATCTTAGCTGCAAAACTTTTCCCTTCGATAAGAAGAGCCCTTTATTGAGTCATAAAAGTGATCTTACTTTGGTGCTGCATCTCAGTGATTTGTAAAACAAAAAATGTATTCGTCATCAACTAGGAGGGGGTGGATTATTAGCTATTTGAGAAAAAAATAGTGCTATCAACATTCCATGACCTTCACAAGTGATCACTTCTACTGACATGTGTTTTCTTGTGACAAGTGGAATAGCTAATGCTTTTTAATACGCTTGAAATCATCTACTTGTACGAAATTCACTCCCACCTTCCAAAAGAGGACTTAACAGACTTTTCTCTTATCATTCCTCTCGGCACTTACACTGGCAAACATCCAATATGGTCGGCTAGTTTTAGTAAATCCGTTTCATTAATTCACTAATTTGCGCCAAAATGCGTGGAATGTTTGTTCACAGGGCTTCTAGAAAATAACTTGTTTTACTCCAATGTGAAGCAAACAGACAACTATAAGTGATTTTACCATACACAATCGGGCTGACCTGTTGCAAGTCATAGGGATGGTAAGAGGCTGCCGTTTTCCCGCGTACCCTCCTCCACATTTACACATAATTCATCCGAAGCCCGGAGTGATCCACAGGCATCTGGTGTGCACGGACGCTCTGGTGATGTTCAGGAGCACTGTTGCAAGCTCCTGTCTTTTATTCTTCTTTTATCGCTTCTTTTTTGGATCGTTTCAAAGATGGGGCTAGCGTGAATTCTTACTACCCAAATTTTGGGCGATTAGAATGCCTAAAATTATTTATTTTTATGCTGGCGGAATTTGCCATCTGTGTACTCCGGATGGTTTTTATGTAAGTGCTAGTGGTGTGGGAGGTCAGGCACTATAAGCGAGCCGGACATTTCCTGCTTATTTTGTTTTGCGCACAAATGTAAACAAGAGATTGAACTGTGTGAACTGAGTCAATCTCACAAATACTCGTTTCATGCCACATTACCCTTTGTCCTTCAACCGGTGTGTGTCCAGCAACTGACAGTACTTTCCGTTTCATTATTTGTTTTTCACTTTTCACCACGCCGTAAATTTGGTCTCCCGTGCGTGCGTGGGTGTTTGCTCACATCAAGGTCACCTGCCTCCAAGATGGCCTTGGCGTTGGAACATTGCTTTGGCAGACGAAAAGCAATCCTTCTTCACGTCGCCTGTGCCCTGATTTTGCTTGGTGTCAGATCTATCTGAAATGATGGGGCATGCCCTGTAGGATGCGCCCAACTTCATTCACCTCTGTCTTTATGAGGTGGTACACCTGGACCTAGTACTTGGGAATCGGTTAAATGTCCTGAAAGGTAGATCAATTGCTAAAACTTGGGATAGGGAAGGCGGGTCGAGTCACTCACTGATGTTTCGTCTCAACTGTGTGTCTGGTCTCAGCACAGACGCAAGCAAGTTTATTTAAAATCGTCACCTGAACTGACTCGTTCCTTGTTGGGTCATAGCCCAGTTTCACATGCACTGACCCTTGCCGCTTCGTGTATGCACGCATGTACACAACTTTTGCATTGAATGCAAATGGAATAAGCCTTGTTTGAACGTCTAGGTCACGCAAGCTTTATCGTCACTATTTTGCTTGTGTAACTCTCACGGCTCTAATAAAACACAATTCTATTTCGGTGATCTCTCAAACTGCCACATTGAAACCAATTTTAAAAACAAGATATAGATGGTGGATGGAGATTACTGAGGTAACACCAAAGCATTCCCGTCATTCACTTTACTGTGCGCTTCATTATTACTCTTGGGCACGCGTGACCCTATCATACGACTGCGCCGGTCGCGTTTGCTAAAGGTGGATTGCTTTAGCGTCGTTAGTCTGTAAAAAATTGTTTTTTTGTAGCCCCTCCCTCTACCACTCATGCACTTCGTAAGTCACACCCGTTTAACATTGGCTTAGCCACCTCAATTCACTTAACTGGCGCGAACGTCTCGTGAATAATACTATATATGGCTTTTTCTTAAAGAGACATGCATCTCAATTCATTTGAGCGCCATATTCACCAAAGCTGTACCCGTTGGCGTATAAGCAGCCGTGGGATCTAACTTGTTGGTGCTACAGCTCTGTGAGATTCCCATGTGCAGAAAGCTAAGATAGGTGAGACTTGGGTGGTTGCTGTGGGGGGGGACTATTCGCATGAGAATTGCGTCAAGTAGGTACACACGGAACCAGGAGCTTGTGCAATCCCCGTTTGTCAAGGTTTGCGGGGTTTGTCTTCATCTTGCACTGCTAGACACTGAGTTTGTAGCCCATGTCAGTAACTTCTGGCTAGAGGAGAAATTTAATTTCTGGTGTGTGTGCAGTTATAATACTGGCTCTCGCAATCATCCGGCCTAACACGTACATAGGCCCCCTGTCCTGAAACACAAAGTCAACTGTCTCTTAACAGAGGTTTGGATGTACGGCTTTTTGGAGATGGATAGTTTACTTCAAGTAAATGGATCTACGTATTTGTGTGTTTTTGTAGTTAATCAAATTGTTTTACATCGCCAAGTGCATTCTTGTGCCACTGGCTTTAAAGAAAGTAGTGATACTTCTTTCAAATTCATCTCAAATTTTTTTTCTGCCTGTTTTTATTGGCCTGCTTAGCCTTTTAAACACACTGCCATATTCCGGCCACGGCCATATTTGGCATCGTGGGTGCGTTATATGTTTTATTAAGCGTGGACCACCTCTACATTATCAGGTTTTGCGCGTGTACACATGCATATGTGTGTATGCGTGTGTTGTGAGATGTAAGAGTAACTGACCCAGCGAGACGACGGACGCCTACAGCATCTGTTGACCGTCTGGGTGCTAACAGCACCTTGCGCGAGCGCATCGGTCTACCACCATCTCAGCGCTTCCGTTTGCATGTCGTCACCTCCGAGCTCAGTTGAGCCAAAAACAATGCCAGCAGCACTCGTCCTAATGCCGGTTTCAGTTTACGTGCCTTTTTTATCAAATCAGTTCTTCCACTTGCATTTGAGTGCCTCGTGTTACACAGTAGTGCACATTATTATGATCAGGAGGTACACTCTTTACCACGAGTTTGTGTTAAAGCAATACAACTTACGACACCAAAATGTGCATTCACTCAATTGAATCTATTCCATTACAGAGTAAAACCGCGCTCACTCGGGGAAGAATAAAACTATTTTTAGCGGATGATGCGGGATCACATGACATGATGCATGACACGTATGACCTGGAATGGCCTAGGAACTGTGAAAGTTTATGTCTCAAGTAAAGATTGATTTCGTCCCTTTTATGAACTAGTATGGGATAGACTTATTTTTCCTCCCGCGTTTCTTTTAAATGTGCCCTCTGAACGTTTTCCACTCAAGTTCCATTCGTCTTTTCTTCGGCTGAACTTTTAGAGGTGCAGTTTGCATCTCTATAAAAGCTCAGTGTATAATCACTTCTGTAGTGGAAGCCTTTGGGTCGAAGCTAACATCCAAGCGCTTTCGTCCGCACCCATCAATATTCCAAATTCTGAAGCCTTTTGAGCTCTGCAGCATTAGATTTTAGCATCAGAATCGCTCGTGCTTTAAGACGTGACTCATCCCACTGACCGGTCAGTAGGTCGTGCACGGCAGGCATGTGAGTATGGACGTACTCATTTCCGTTCCCTCTCCTTTATGCATGTTTTTCAATCTTGGCCATTGATTGCGCCCCCTTTCCTCCGTTCTACTCACTTCTCTACTTTCCTCAGCCCATCGACCAGACGGCTTCTGAGCAATTGCCTCGTCTGACGGAATTAACCTCCGATGGAGTTATGCGTGACCTCCCCACCAGCCATTATGATTTACCATAAGATTGAATTGCAGACTCTGTTTGTGTGCTTGTGTGCAATTGAATAGCAGACATTGTCGTCAGACGTTTTAGATAGTGCTGATGGTGGTGATAGACTGTATGCAATAAGGCGCCAGTCATTGGGCAAAGGTGAAATGGTTGTGAGGCATTTGATCTGTATCATCCGAATTATGCCTCTTGCTCATGCCTGCACTTGTAGAAGGTCCAGGCTTGATTGCACTTTTGTACGTTCACAGGCACTACCACCAAAACGGGAAGGAACGCCTTATTAATCACACCTGAACTAATAAACTCAATCTTTCGGCTCACTAACACTCACACTGTGAAACTTAGTGGTCGCTTGAGATCAGTCTCACGTGTGAGCAGTCCCGCTTGTATAAATTAACACCCTTCTTTTTTTACTTTAGCATCACCATTAGATTAACTGTGTATACCACTATTCCTGAACCGAGTGGCATTTGAGAGTAAGTAAATGTCATTCCCCTAGGCATTGCAGAGGTGTCTTGGGTGCGTGGGTGCCTGTGACCTTGCTAAAATGTCAGCAAACGTTTTATGTGATAAACTAAAGCCGCACCGATCCCGACGGTCCAGCATTCGACTGTTGGCCGGCTTTGAATGCAAGTTAGCGCTAACTACTGGAACTGATTTTGGTGCGAATGGGTGCGGAATTCGGCAAGGCAGGGAATGGGTAGGAACCGTCTGGACATTAATCATCCTGGGAAAGTAATGCGATAGGTCTACCACTATTTATTTATTTAAGTATACGTTTCTAAAATACGTCAGCTGAGAGTGAGGTGAACGCATTTAATCTCCATTTTTGCGTTCTCTTGGTAATGTACCGAAATGAAGTGGCTAAAGTGAAGTCAAAAGTGAGCCATGAGGTGGTACTTTGTCCCCGAATATCTTGGGGAACAGATAACGTTCACAGGAAAGAAAAGTCAAAGTCCACATTTTTATCACTGCAACTCTGCGTTCATGAATATACTGGCATAAATGCCACGGAAGTGGGCTGTATGACTAGTCTGCGTTTCGTAGAGTTTCGCATTTTCCGGAGAGTATATTTGCAGATGCAAGAGTGCTTTTTGACATCGTCGAAAATGACGTAAGTTGAAGGACCACGCAGTGGTAAGGAATGATGCTCTTGCCAGTCTTGATTTTGGGTGAATGCAGGATGTGCGTTTGCTTGTCCGGTTGGTGGGTTGCCAGCATCAATCTGGTTGCGTCATCGGCGTCTTGCATGGACACTTTTCGGACAGATTTGGTGCCTCCAATTCTTCCAATAGCTCCACTTGCCTCGGGGCTGACTAGATTACCCAGTTGATGCGGATGAAATTGGTTTGGTGCTAATTTGTCTAGTTACACGTCAACACATCACCTCAAACAGTGGAGCTGCTACTTCCGACTCTGGCATGAGTACTTATTTTGTTTATTCTTGTGGTATTTGATACGATCTCCTCAGCTATATCTTTGAGGGAACAAAATCATTAAACTGTTGGAAATGTTGGAATAGTTCTTTTGACGAGTGAATTTCGTCTACAAGTATACTAATACCAGAAAACTAGAACAAATAAGGTGGCTCTGCCTGAAACAAGTTTTAACGAATATCCTGTGTTGCTTTTATAGTAAATAAAATCATTTTTCGTAGCATTTTCTCTCCACCTGTGACCTTGGATGAGTGATCCCTACCAGTCTAACTTGTTTCACAATGATGACATTTTAAATTAGTATCGGTTTACAAACTTAGGTTCGAAGAGCCACCAACTGTGGGTGGCATGGTAGCAGGTCAGTCGTCTTTATCCTCACGCGACCTTATTGTTCTCCTTCTTGCGCTTCATCACTCACAGGTCTCTACCTCTCTGATCTCATTTACACCAACGTGGCACATCCGCGTATCAACGGACAGCCGACAACGGTTTGGGTGACGAAGCTGAACACCATCGTCGACGCCATCGCCCACTTCCAGCAGTCGCGTTTCCGTAAGCCCCTATCCTCAGCGAGAAAGTCCGTTTTTATCTGTCGGATGGCTGCCTTGTGTTGCATTGCAAGTGTGTTAGTTAACACGCTCGTCGCATACGACGTCCCGACTTTCTTACCGGATTCTCACCTTTAAGTGCATGTGACACTTAATTAAAGGGGAATTAAATTGATTGAAAATTACGGAAAAAATACACTTGATGTCCCATTTAATCAACAAAGTATGGGGACTAGCGCATAGTTTCTTTTTAAAACCCAGCCAGTGAATGTGTTAGCGATGATAGTTCTGTTTGCGTACTTCGCCCGGCTAGTAAACTGCTCGCTCTATGTAATTCAATTTCATTTCAACAATGCCAATCTCTATTACGATGCCCCCGCAACCGACCAGACTATCATCGGGATCCATGATTTCCTATGCATTATCTAAAATTGTAATTACTTAGCTGAACGTACATATTTCACTCGTAAGGATTGGAGGTGTGGAAACAGGTTTTGCACAACATGGCCCGTTTCTTTTTAAGCAATCAGAGGGCACGTGTCGTGGTAGGCGCGAGTAAAGCCCGCAGTCCTCATTTCTCCACCCCTTCCATCCTGTCGACGACCTGCCTGGTGGTCACCTAGCCCATCCCACACCCGCCTTTCCCTCAACAATCCTCTCAGCTCTTAAAATGAGGATTTAAATTTAACATTCGTATTGCCTCCCCACTTGTCCCTCGTACATGTGCGCACAGCACACTTGTGCTGCTGGCAACCAATGGGGATGTTTGACTTCGCCTTTGATCGGCCCTTGCCACACAAGCGCGCTCGCCGTTTGCGCGCTTCCTAATTTCGCCCAGACGCTGGATGGGGGAGTTGGGGGTGCGTACGCGTGTACGGTCGATCCACGACCCGCGCGCGACGTTGGCAGCGTCAACTTTTTTTGGGATAATTAATTCTTCCTCCTCTCTGCCATTCCGATCCCTCCCTTTTTGATCTTTCACGTGGCATGAGAATTCCGAGGAGGAGGCGAGGGGGTGGAGAGAAGAAGAATTGACCTATCAATCAGTACTGAGAGTTTAAGGCTATCACGGTGCTTGAGTTCTTTGAATTTATAGGTGGTAGTAGTGGACGAGAAGTCCAGAATTTTCAGCTAATCGTAACACCATCGACTGGATGTTAGCGTGGTACCATAAGATATCTGATATAAGTTAGTGAAGTTTTTCATAATAAAATTAAATTACGATTTAGGTCTCTTTAAGGTATTTTATTCGTTGCAATAATCACCACCACAATTCGTAATGCATCCTATGTTTGTGGGTTACATTTTCCCAAAACATTTGGTCTGGGGACCATCACACACGAACCAAGCAGATTTATGGGGATGAGGCGGTTTGTCTTGGGGGTATGGGTTGAATTGTGGTTGGTTTAGGGACAATGGCGTGCAAAAGCCATCTCGCATTACAGATCAGCGAGAAAATAAATAAACCAGAATACACGGCACACTTTTATAAGGTGGAGTGAATAAGTGAATGCTTATGCCTGCCTGTCATCCACCAACGCATGTGGGCGGGGCCAATTTGCTTATCTTCCACCACTTTACCCTCCCACCCGAAGTAGGTGCAAACGAATCATCATTTCAGCTCTCACGTTAAACCTGACAAATGCCATTCTTCTTCACACACTGGTTTCGAAGGATAGTTACGATCATGATGCGTAATTCTTCGTTATCACGAGCGGAGGGTATTTGTGGAAGCGATGCATTCATCTTTGAGCGATTCAGCACCTGAATCGAGGTGTTGATGCCATTTCTGGCTGGCACTTCTTGCTGCCGTACCCTCTCTAAATTCAGTAAACATTTGACGGTAGGCTATTTTCTACACTCTTGAAACCGAATCACATTCATCAGGTTTGCTAAACCGACATTTTAGTAAATAGAAGAATTTAGGGTGAGAGAGTTGTGCCATACCCAAATAAGGAGTACCGATAGGCTGACACAGAGCTCTGCTTTATAATGCATACAAATAATGGCATATTACCGGTCTTTGCAAGCTACTTCAAGCCATGTCAGCGATCTATACCGCAAACCATATCTACTTTTCGGGTCATTTGATATTCGCAACTGAACAGTCACTGACGTGTTAAAACTGTGACCACCTAGACCCATTTCTTACGACTTTAATTCACACCTCTGATCGGCAAATGGATTTTGCACTGGCTATCGCCCACTTTTTTGGCTAAGCAAGCTAAAATCCTCTTTTGAAATGGTAGCAGCCGGAGCATTCAGCCTTATGCGTAGCTGTTACGTTTATTTTGAAGCGTTGAAAATTCTTATATTGCATCATTTTGACCTGGTACTAAATTTGAACGACTAAGCAGGTTGCAGACGATTACTGCTGAATGCATGTGCTTAAGTTAGGTGTCATTTATGTATACTGATGTTAAGTCGTTATTTGAAAAAATCAGTAAAAACACAAATGGTGGTGGCACCGTCCAGCTGTAACTATCTCAGCGCCCTTTCCCGATCCTTGAGTGTTGCTGCAACGATTTAATAAATACGATGGAAATTTCGCAGCAGTTTAGCGGCAAAGGGAGCCAAATTAAATCACAATTAATCGCCATTTGTCTACGTACATTCAGCTTTCCAAGTGAATGAGAGCATCCGAGCCTACCTCCTCGCTCAGTCTTACATTGAGGAGTTACAGAAGTTCCTCGAGGATGCCAACTTCAAGATGTCCCTCCACCTAGAACCGCCTCCTATACTTGATGCCTCTCCGCCTCCCACTTCGCTGTCGCTGATGGCCCCCGCTGCTGCTGCCAACGGGCACAGCACAGAAGGCTCGCGGAGGGGTGTCTCGGCGGCGGCGCGCGTGAGTACGTCTATTTCGTGTAAGACCGCTCCGTTGGTCGTAGCCCTTACTGCAGGCTGCACCTTCGAGCGGGAACAGGCACCGCGCAAGAAGACACTACCGTCAGCACCGCAATCACTCAGCTTCAAGCCGACTTTGGTCGCGCTGGGGAAGGCGGCGATAGGCGACAGCACCGAGGTGGAGGTAGACGCAGAGGGAGAGGAGGTGGAGGTCTGCTGTACTAGGACTATAAAACCCGGTACCACGGTGAAACTGTTGCTTCCACCAAATCCCGTCGGCTTGTTAGAAAGCAGTGGTTGTGCCCCCAACCTTGCTGCCGTCCCCATTGACTCCGTCACCACTGGCTCCAAGGCCTGCTTCGCTAATGACACATCTATTCTCAGGGGAAGAAGGTGATCCTTTCACAGTTCCTACTTTTTTTGTCTAGAGGTGTTGTAACAAAGTTCCGTTTTGAGCAGACAAAAAGTAGAACCTAGGTGAGATTCACGGAACATATTGGAAA